ACAAGCAGTCACATTCATATATTAAGTAAATTCCAAGTTCCAGCTATCTACACATATGAGCATTTTCTCTTTACTGTATATTGGGGCTTCCCCACATTGATAAATATATTACTTTATCTGTATATAGAGGAGAGAATACCTCTTTGCAAGAAATGTAGGAGTAAAATAAGGATGTTTTTTCTAGACTCTTTACATCCATCTCATTTTCCCGGGACATTCTTTGATCTCCAATTTGTGATTGCCTCTTTTTCTGCCCTTAGCATCACCAGTTCTATGTTAAACAAGAGTACAGTGTTCCAATTTCTGCTGCAATCCTGCAATGAAGCAGGATAATCCGTCTTCCCTCCCTTGTTCCTTACACAGGAAGCACCAAATATTCGTCGCCTTTTCTGCAACTTGTTTGCTGATAATAATGCTCCCACACTGCTGACTAAATTTTTGATTAGTTATATTGAACAACTCACCTGGGATTTCTGGTTGCCATCTTCCATTCCAGTTTGTTTCTCTTTCAGTTTCAATAGACAAGTTTGAGCTTTACAGAATGTTATTAATTACTCCCTTCGTTCAATTTGTTTGTTTGGTTTTGACTTGACACAAATTTTAAGAAAGTAAATAAGACTTCCGAATCTTGTGGTCTTAAACTAAAGACATGTAGAATTTACCAAAATGTCCTTTAATCTTGTGGTCTTATAAATGCCATGTGGAAATTTGAAATTTAACAGTTGCTGAATAAGGAAAAAGACAATTCTATTTTATGCAAAATCAGTAAAAGAGGCCCCCCTTGATCAAAAAAACTTTATGAAATAACCAATAAGAACCAGTAGGACATTTACATATGCTACATTACTTGTGATGTTGGAGGAATATTTCAAGAGAGGAGGTGGGTGTGCGTGTGAGGGGAAAGTTTGCTTTACTAATATCATTTACATTATTTTGAGTGGAACTATATGAATGAAGGTCTCCAGACAAATGTGCAGGACGGGCAGAGTCATAACTCATGAATCTGAACCTTTAAGGAGGAATCTCTTCTTGCAAAGCTTAAGTGAGGATGGACAAGAGAGTGTGGGCAAAGCTAATGATTTGGACAATGTGAACAACAATCCTCCAGCAGAAATTCAAGATAAGGATATCGTAGAATGTTTGGAAAGTGATGTTCAATATTGGACAGATTTTTCTAAAGTACACTATCATCCACAGAGTTTGTATGAATTAAGTGGATTATGGGCAGATATTCAGGAGTTCGATAATTATGGACTCGGGAAGGAGGCATTTTGTGGGCATCAACATGGTGAAGAAATAGATGACAGACTTCGTTTCTTTGTTGAAGATTGTGATCATATTCAGGTACTCATGATTGAAACCTCTAGACTACTATATTGTCTAGTTAGTTTATTGCTGTTCGTAAATCTCCTCAGGTTTGTAGGCAGATCAACCACCTGAAATTTGTCCGGTCCAATGATTCTGATTCCTTCCAGTGTGATAGTATTACTATTCTGCACATGTTTGAGAGCATTTCTTTGTCCTGTAAGTTTCTCCTTGATGTTGAATGAACTTTGTCCTCGCGGAGTATATCATTACAGTTCCCTTTAGTCCTGTTTCCTTCACAGTATTTTTATTTTTTGATATCATAGAAATCGCATGTATACCCACTTCGTGAGGTATCAACAGGTACCAAACTCAGGGGAGAATGGTCCGCCCCTTTAGCCTTCTCCCAACTTAAATTCCAGACTTTTTGTCCATGGCGGGGTTTGAAACCTTACATGCGTGCGATAAACCTGCATTTCATGTGTTGCATCATTCCTTACAGTTGAACCAAGGCCCTGGGGGCAGCGTCACAATACTGCCATAATATCTTGTCTACTGTCAGATTGGCTTACTGACTTAACAACCTCATTAGTTCATCTGGTCTTCAACAGTTCTGTTATAGCAGTTCGAGTATCAGCAATGCGACTCTATATTCTTCCTCTTGCTTGCTGAGATCTTGAATCTTGTGCTCTTTTTGGACAACTGTTTTTATTTTTCTTAAAGGTCCACCTGCACTTGTGTTCTTCTCTTGTCGGCAAGAGTTGTTAATTTTTTTAATTGGATCTCTTTTGCAGGGGATCCAATGCATTGTGGACGACTCAGGAGGGTTTTCTGGTGTATCTGCAATGTTCCTGGAGAGCATTGCAGATGAGTACCCAAACGTCCCAGTTTTACTATATAATGCACGTAATCCTAGCTTGCACATGGACTCCAAAGGTCGCAAGCAAGCTATCTCCCACAATCTTCATGATGCAGTCTCATTTTCAAGGTTGTCTGAGCTATGTAAATTGATTATCCCGGTTGGTTTGCCCTCCCTGAGTGGAAGTAAGAACTACTATTCTCATAATGTGACTTTTTTAGTAGAACTATACAATTTTCCTTCATATGGTTCTCTCAGGCATACTAGATTCTTTGTTTAATTAAATTGGGTTGTTAGTTTGTACTGCATATTGTCCATCCAAAGGAGATTATTTCAGTAAACGACTCCTGGCCGCAACAAAGAGATACTTGATGGGTTCACGTATGCTGTATGAGTAGCTGACCTGTGTTCATATATGTCCACCCCAAATTTTGAGAACAAATCTGATTACAAGCTGAGGTTAGGGATATTCAGAAGAAATCATGGCTTGTGCGTCACACTTTTTCATGTGCTGTATGCAAACTTGTGGTTTTCCTCACTCAGAAGGCAAGAAGTTGTGTGCATTTTGCCTACATCCTCAGCAATTTTCAGCATCTAACTGAATCAACAAATTTGAATTCCAGTTAACTATGTGAATCCTGTGTAGTTTAAAGGAAACAGGGGATTCAACAATTGTTGAGTGAAATCATAGGTGTTAAACCTGTCTATTTAACAGAATGTTAGGTAATCATGTGGTTCATTAGCCAGTTCATTCACTGGATCCTGTTGTATAGTCGGTAAACTCTTTCTTCACTTATATGGACTTGTGTCTTGTTTGTGTACCTTTGACTTTTCTAGTTTTTGATGCAGGTTAACTTCTGTAACTGAATCTTGTTTTATGACCTCTTACTCTGTATGCTTATCATATTCAAAGCTCTTATCTGAATGGGTTCCCGTGGCTGATACTTGCATATATGAAATTATCTAGGTAGAGCTTCTCAGTTTCTCCGCATTAAAGACGAAAAGCCTTACCACTCCAGTGCAGTGTATGCGTCTGCAATGCACTCATTTAGTCTCCCTTTTAGGATGAAACAATCAGGTCCATCTGCAGAATCAATCTATACGTCTGGTGCTCTGGATATGTATGGGACAGTACAAATTCTAGCAGGCCAAATGAGGCAGAACATGGTAACTATATTAGATGTTGCCATGCCGGCACCTTCTTTAAGTGGTATGCTTTTGTCTCTAGCATTTCATTTTTCTGAACCCACTGTGCAATTACTTCTACTCCTGATGTTGGGAACTCTTTTACACCAGCAGACCGGGCTCAGCAGCAGTCCTTTCTCGGAAACTTGCAGCCCTTGATTCCGGACATAGCAGAAGATGTTGAAGATTTCCATGCAGTGGAAACTATGAACATTCACGGAGCAGTTACATCTGGTACTTGATTTGATCTTTAGCATATTTCTTATATTTTAAACATTTTTACATAGTTTGATGATTTGCGTACTGGCTTGCGCATCTCCTTTTGTACTCCATCTACATAATATATGTCATATTACCTCATCTCTAAACTGTTTTACCTTTGAGAAGCTCAAGCTATAGCACAATATGCAAATATTTCATGAACTTGTCCTGGTTTCAATAGGTAAGATACATTGCCGGAAAAATTACTGATTAAAATGTAACTTTCGAATCCCTGCAATGAAATTTAAGCTTTTCATGCACCCAAGGGTATGACCTATTGGTCAATGAAGTGGTTGAGAACCATGAGGTCTCAGGTTCAATTCCTAGCGGAAACAAAATACACTAGATGATTTTCCCCATCTGTTCTAGGCTTGGTGGACAGAGTTACCTTGTAGCTGTTGCTGGTGGGTGGTGGAAGGTATCCTGTGGAATTAGCCGAGGTGCGTGAAAGCTGGCCCAGACAGCACGATCATAAAAAAAATTAAGCTTTTTATTTGCAAGTCTACAGAAAATGGACAAAACATAACTAAGAAAGGTTAGGAATGAGGTGTTCCAGTGTGTGATGAGTACTAAACCTTAAAGGTAAAACCAACCTAAATAGTGGATTATGTTTGCTAGCAAAGCACTTCAACATGCTATACTCTATAGAGAATAATAGTTCCAAAAGGGAGCGTGTAACTTTAACCCATGAGAGTGAGATGAATGAATACCCACCTTTTAAAGCATATTTGAGTCTTTAGTGTTGTTTTAGTGGCTCTTTTCTGTTATCACCTTCTTGCTTATAGCTTTTCCAGAGATGTTTGATCTGTTAAACTGTAGTTTTCCATGTTATTTTCAGGAAACCAAAGGGCCTCAATTGATGAAGTTAAGGATGCAGTTGAGTCTGCTTACAATAATTCAGTCACAAGGCCCAAATTCTCACACCTATCTGCTTCTACTTGTCCTCTTCCTATACCCTTGCCTTTCCCTATGATCTTTCGCGATATGGTTGGTCAACACGGTGAGCTATTGGAAACCCCGATTTCAGGTTCTTCATCTAGGGGATCCATTGAAGTTCATTCCATTCCTATGGCAACAAGATTACGTTCAAGCACTGCTGTTTTGCCCTTTTTGGAAAGAAAACTTGGAAATCTTCGTAGGTTTGGTATTGAACGAGGAGCCATTGGGGCACCATTGCTCCAAAGTTGGGGTTTTGGAAAAGAAGAAGTGGAAGATATGGGAGAGGTACTGTCTAAGATGGTAACGACACTGAAGCCCTATCCTCAATATTCCTCCGAGTCAGATTGAGTTCACAAGGAGCATATTTTATTTTCAAGTGCTGATGGGATAGTTCTTCCAGGTATAAGCTGTTCACTCTTTTTGAATCAGTCATCTTGATCCTTCGTTTTTCCTTTTTTTCTTTCTTTCTGGGCGTTAACTTGCTTTAGCAGATGTTTTAGAGGATCCTTACTTTGTTTTTTTCTTCTGGAAATTAATGTGACTATTTATTTCTAGCTTACTTCATAGCAAGATAAGTATTCGTGCATGATATAACTTTGTAATTCGTTGAGCTTTGAAAACCAGATAATGAAATGGAAATCCATAAAAGTTAGTATATACATCTAAGTAATAAGTAAATAGGATACTCAACAAATGAATGTTATTAGAAGAAACAATGGGCAACTCAAACTTGACAATCTACAGAATGCGCGGCCATTGATGCCACTCATAAGAAAATAATTTGAAGTGTTTAGTTCTCCACCCATATTCTCCAAAATCATGCACAAGTTCTGCAAAATCTGTTTCCATGTCATAAGAAATAACCTTACCTTTTACATCCAAATAAAAGATGTGAGGAATAGCAGGATGAATGTCCATGTTCTGCACCTCAGTATGTAGAAATCCTGTAAGTCCAAAAGGAACTGTAGTCGCGACATCCGTGACATACTTCCTAACCCACAGTGCATCACGACTACGAATATTGCTCTTGAGTTGCCACACAGTAATATTTGTCTTCACATACAATGCAAAATAGAAATCCCCACCTGAAAATCCGAGAAAATAATTGCCTGTAGCAACCATTTCTTCAGGAAATTCCAATGCCCAGAAGCTCTTATGGACACTATCATAAACAGTGATTTGTGGCCCTTGATCAAGCCAAAAGAACACTCCGTCGATTGCACCAGCTGATGGTGATTTCATATAAACGAAAAAATACAGTCTAAGAGGTACGCTGAGAATTAGATTATCCACAATCCACACATTCGTCTCAGAAGAGAAGCTCTCAATTGTCACATTGGATTGTAAAATCCAATAACGAACTATAGTGAAGGAGATAACATCTCTATTAGGGTTATCTACCTTACAAATAAACCCAATAGTTGGATCATTCATGCCGATTTGAGTTTTAGGGAGAGCCATACTCTGCCTCGTAGCAGGATTATAAACATAATAAGCCCTCTGCTTATTGCAAAGGAGAAAACCATTAGATGATGCAACTATATACGCGCTCCTGCCTAGAAAACTGACTGATTGATCAAAACTACCATCAATATCTAATGCTGATTCCTCAGATGAGAAGAAGAACTGAATTTTCGATCGTTCACAGGTATCCCTAGCTTGATAAAAGAAGCCAATTAGATAGGGTTGAGGCCTCCATCTTCGATAACGACAACTATAACTCAGGGATGAATCAGCAATGTACTTCAGCCAACATTTGGATACACATTTAAACCTTGCTAGAGATTTTGAAGGCAAACAATGCAGTATGTTGATCACAATATCATCAGAAACCTCCACTGCTCCTTCTTTGGCACACAATTTGCGTCGACGTTTCATACTAGTTATACTTTTTTCAACTATATTATTTTCTTTTTACACAAAGTGGTCACAACAACAACAACAACAGAAGTTATAGCGATTGTGGGTTACCGAGATTAAAAAAGAAAACTGTAACAGAATTCGAACTTTTCATGAAATTCAACAGAAAATTCAGATTAGAAGATGGGAAGTAAAGTCCACTTATAATTGTTACAGAAATGAGATTTTAAATGGTTAGCAAAATCAAATATGTTCTCGGGATTGAAGCCGCGATATGCTCTGTTTTTCGTCGACGGTTACTTGCGTAGGTGTATGGGAGTTCTTATGAAACGGGATTTTTTTATAAGAAAAAAAAATAAAAGTCGATCCCGCCACTTCACCGAAATAATATTCAAATTTTTCATTCTTTTTGTATAATTATTCAATGATTGTCCAACTGTTCATTTGTATATTGCACGTCTCTGTGTGGAGACTAATTCAAAATCCAAACATTATCATTTCCATTAGTATTCTACCACAAAAATTGATTTGTTGAATTCGAAATATATTGCACGTATCATGCATGTAAAAGTTTTGAGTCCAAACAATACAAGTCAGATATTATGGTGGTTACGGAAAATTGATTTTTCTTTTTTAAGAAAAATTGTTTTTCTACTTTCTATGTCCCACGGAACACACTTTTTTTTTTGGCAGTTTTAATATTTTTATATTTAGTATTAAAAATTTACAGTCACAAAAATATTAATAAAAAGTTTTATTCGTTCCGCTCACTTTTAATTGTTATAGTATCCTTTTTAGAGTTAAATTAACATTTTACGAGAATGTTTTTTATCATATTAATATGCTAGAAATATAATTTATATATTTTTCATATAATTTTTTAATATATAAATTTTTTACTTAAATATCAAATTAACGTAATTTAATTTAATATTACACAATTAGTTAAATTTGTACCCATAAAGGATCATTTGCAGTATATTATTCGGTCCGTTTAATAAAAACAGCAAACTTTAATATCAGTTTTTCGATCGTAAAATTTAAAAATATTTTGAATATAATTTAAAATTAGAAGGTAGAACCATAAAATTGAAAATCTTTTTTAATTTAAGTGTTAAATTAAATTAGATCTTCTGTGAAACGGACGGAGTATATGCTATATATCACAAAGTCAACTGCACCTGCACGCGTGAAGATGTTTCCAAACAGAGCAAAGGCCGTAGTCAGGAGAAAGGATTTCCTGTTATGGGAGTGAAAGTTATATTGCTGGTAATTCACTTTACAATTCAATTTTTCGTCAAATTAATTGGTAATTCCATCCTGTTGTTTCTTAGAAGAAATGAATTCAGTTACATGATTTACAGGTGATAGTATAATAATAAGAAACTTGTTCTGGATTATATGTCTATATGCATATATAATTATTATTCACTATGTTGATGCCGTTGTGGTGAAGGAGACAGCATTAGCTTGATAGTGATCTGTGTCGTATATAGTCAAATTCTGATTTGTCTAATCCAAAATCCAAATGCACGTAAGCTATTTGAGTTTAAGCTTCAAAGAAGGCTTTCATTTGTAATGCTTCTGCACGTCAAGTGAGAGAAATTTTTGAAGCATTTGAGAGAGTGAAACTAAATTAGAATAAATTCCAAAATGCTGCTGCTACAAACAAAGATAAAACTCCACTAGCATAGGAAAATACAGCCATAGAAGAAATGGCCTGATAAACTAGACTAATTTTACAGACTGCTTTGTAGGCTTCCAACAAGAGAGAGCGTAAATTACGCGTCCTTTCCATCCTTGTAGCATCCAGTGTCCATCTTCATCAACTGAGAAGTCCCTGTGGTACTCCGACCTCACTTTATTCCTCACTATCTTCACAATCTCCTGGTCAAGTGGCACCTGTTTGAATCCAGCTCTAACGCATCTAAGTTGCCACTGCTTGTATGTTTCAGGTCTCTCAACTCTCTCTGTCCCTTCACAAGCAATCACGTTCATAGCATCTCTTGCAAAAACCTCTTCCTCGAATAGCTTTCTGTCCTCGTCCTCGCGGGGAAGAGTAGCCTCAAACATATCATACAGTGAAGAGAAGTGAAAAAGCGCCTCCCTGAATCGTGTGACGAAAAATGGAGTGTTGAAAGTACCGTTCAACGCACCATGGATGAATAAATCAGGACGGATCCTCCTGATTAAATTCAGGACAGCATCCCTTGGACTGTTTGGTACTACTGTCTCATCAGGTATGTTTCCTAGCCTATACAAACTGTTAACTACCAACACTTCATCCCTTTGAACCTCAAGCTCTTCAAGCGTGATGCTTTCCCACTTCTTCGCGATGGCTTTGAATACGAAAGGGACACTAAATCGCTTGCAGTACTTTTCCAAGCGACGCCCTGTCTCCTCAACCCTCCCTGCTGGCTTGAAACCTGGCTGGGGAAGATCGATTCCAGTAATGCGAAGCTCTGGAGGTCCCCCAGCCCTCATGGATAGACCTTGTATGAGACAGGGCCATTGGAAACCATACAAGATACCAAAATCAATTATGTGTATCTTTGGTGCTCCAGCAATGACCTTTCGGATATACTTGTTTGCGAAAATGTTTGACAGCAACTTGAATGGACATGCTCTGATAAATGCCTTGTAAGCTTTCAAAATGTTAGCAGCTGATATCCTACTGGGTGCGTAGGCTGTATACAAAGCTGTTCCCGTGCCGGACAGGCGTGCTTCAAGGGCATTGGCAAGATAATGAGCCAACCTCTCCGTCCCATCGCCATGAGGTGTAGAGTGTTCTCTTATCCGCATCAGCAGCTCATTAGCTGTTCTGCTATCATAGTTTGCCATGGCCTGCGCACACTGAGTCAACAAAGCCCTCAAATCCACCATTTCCTTCTTGACAATGCTGCTATGCTTCCTACCACCTCTCGGCCTTCCAACTTTGCTTGTTTTTTTGGCTTCATTAGGCGGCGAGTAGGAAGTGATACTAGTAGCACTATGCTGTTCCACATATGGATTGTTTAAACAAAGCAACACATTGTCATACATTTCCAATGGTTCAGATTCATCATGAACAAATGTAGCCATCTGTTTGTTACTCCTCTGCTGGTCTGCAGCAACATCTCCTCGATGTCGATTTTTCTTTTCCCTCAGACCAGTTGGTGAATTGCTGCTGCTGCCACTTTGTAACACATTGACAGCTCCTTCTTCAAAATGGCCATTGCCGAAGGAAGTGAAGAAAGAGTCATGATTAGATAAAGTGGACATGGAAGCAGGGGATTCGAAATTAAGATCCCATTGAGGTGACTCAATAGAATCAGGTGAATAGTTGCTGAGAAAACTAGAGGAATCGTGTGGATTGATAATGACAGATTGTGGGGAATAGTTGTTTTCGGATCCATGAAGTACATCAGATAAGTATCTCTCTTTAGCTTGGAGAGCCATGCAGTCATGAAACATACATGGCTTATTCTCCAAATCATCTTCTTCCATAAGCATCTGACTTAAGAATTTGTACATTGCATCAGAATAGTCCTTTTCCCCTTCCTCTTGAGGAGGAGGAGAAGAATCTCCCACTCCAACAACATGATTTGAAAAGTAATCTTGATCAAAACTAGGATGATTATTGAGTCCATTTTGTATAACTTCTTTTCTTGGATCCATTGGAATGGAAGGGTGCCTAAAAATAAAAGAATCAGCACAAGGAAAAAGCTGTTCTTGAAAAAGGGCTTCCATGGAAATTGGTTTGAGCTACTAAATTCTGAGATGTTTGATTGAAGAAATCAAAGCAATCCCAGAAATTCTAACCAAAAAAAGAAGAAGAAGAAGAAGAAGAACTGAAACAAAAAATAGGAACTGAGAATGGTACCTGATATATAGCTGTTGAAGTGGTAGTAGAAGAAGTAGTATTGAGGTTGGAAGCTAAGAAATGATATCTCTTTGAATATATACAAGTGTATAATAATAGGAAGAGAAGAAGGGTTAGAATATTCAATGAAAAAACAGCAACTTCCAGGAAGCAGATGTTGATGATGATGAACCCAACCACTCATGAATCATGACCGGCTAAGGTAAGTAGCCTAGCAAGTTATCGGTTTCTTTTCCTCCCAAAAATAAAAAGGTCAACTTTCTAGAATTAAAAAATAGGGATATTTATAGTCACACTCACACCAACTAATTCGTTTTACAATAGTATAAACTTTATAGGAAATTTTGAGTTAACTGATAAAGTTATTATTGTGTAATTACAATTAGTGGTGAGAGTTGTAAAAATAATTTCTTGTAACAATGAAAGGATAAAGTTATGTGATTTGATTTCTTTTCGAACTTCATATATAATTTTCCGTTGTAAAAAAAGAATAAGTTATTTTTTCTTTTTTAGTAATATTTTAATTTTAGTTTTTCACGTGTCATGTTAAAACTACGTAATTTTAATTTAAAATTATAAGAATAAAAATATTTTTATTGAGTTAAATTAGGTATTCTTTTCGAGGAGGAGAACAATGGACGCAAGGTGAACTTAGCTATTTATTTTTTTTGCATGCTTTAAAAAGATATATTTCTACCTAAATTTGAAAATCATTTATTCAAATATTTGATTAACGATAAACCTGAAACCAACATAAGTAACTTAGACGAATAATATAACTATCATGAATAATAGCTTGTTAGATGGTTAGAATTCTCGATAATAGTAATAAAAATTAGTTATTTAATCTTTTATTCTATATAAAATAATAACAAATAATTTTCTTATAATTTATATTTACCTTTATGTGTTATATATAAATAGCTTATTTTTTACTTATATTAAATATCATATAAAAAATAATATAAATAAATAATTTTTTGCTTATTCGATTATCTCAATATTAATATTAATAGGAGAGTGTGATTTCCTAAATAGAAACAAAGAGAATATTATATTAAATTGTTTTGAAAGAGTGGTGGGGTTAACTGACGAGGGAACAAATTGACATTATTCTACCAGGGGCGAAGAATCAAAACTGTGATGACTTCCTCCACTTTTGTATCTATCATATACTATAAACTAAAATCCCTCCAAATATCACACTTTTTCTAGTTGAGACTTTTGACTAAATTATCATACCTTGACTATTCCAGAATTTGAATCTCTCTTTTTCCATTTTTATAACTTATCTTACACAACAAGTTAATCATTTCATTTGATCTATGTTTTTATTTTTGGCTTTGATGCGAAAATAATTATTTCACTTTTTATTTTCTAAAGTGATCAAGAAATCATTATGATTTTTATTGTTTTTTTATATTTAAAAAAAGTTTGAATCTTTAAAATTTGCTTAAACTTACAAAGATCATATTGATATAAATTGTTAAAGTAAAATGAAAAATTCAAATGAATTAATTTTATTTTGATTT